TTGAGTTTATGTCACCCGCCATCTTTAACACTTGAGTTCATGTCACCTGCCATCCTTAATACCTGAGTTTATGGGTGCATTCACATCAGCTCTGTTGTCCTGAACTCTAGCTCGTTTGCCTTGGAAGTCCGGTTCGTTTGGGGAGGTGTGAATGCGACATTAACCTCATACAGAGCCGTCAGCTGCCTTGTGTGAAAAACAACATTCTCCATGGTCTTCTGCCTCTCTTCCACTCTTGCTGAGTCCATTGTTGAAAAATGACAAAATAGAACTCCTAAAACCGCTAAAATTTTGAAGCCATTCTGTTTTTGTTTTTATTTGTTACCAGTTTTTATTTGGGGGAGTGGTGGCGCAGAGGTTAGAGAAGGTGGGCCTGTGATCGGAAGATCGCCGGTTCAAGCCCCGGTACCGACAACATCAAAAATGTGGGTGGGGTAGGTGAAGTACCCACACATGCCCCCACCCTCATTCACCCCACTCTGGGCCCATGAGCAAGGCCCTTAACCCCCATCTGCTCCCTAAACTGGTCTCTCTTGAAAATGAGTTCTCGTGGTTCAATGAGACTACCTGGATAAATAAAGGCTAAATGAAAAAAAAAATAAATAAAATTTCCAGAAGAAGAAGAAGTGTCTTCAGAGGTTTTTGTGTTGTTTCTTTCAGTAGTTCTTGGTGCAGCGCTTCCACAGGCGAGTGGGGGAACAGGTTGGCTCGACTGCACAGTGCAGTGTGAATAAACTGCACCAACTCAAATGTAAACAAAATGTTACGAATATTGGTCCCCAACCGAACCGAGTCTACCGGACTGTCAGGTGTGAAAACACCCTATGTCTCCCGCTATCTTCAACAGCAAAGTTTTACACCAACACCATCTTATGATGAAATGGATCAGAACATTTTTGTCTTTGATCTCATGAAATGTTGAGGTTTTGTGAGATGTGTTCATGCTCAGAGGATGTGTTGAGGAGGACTCTCAGCTACTACCACATCAAACTAGCTCAAGATTAGTATGTTTGACAAAGGTCAGTTAGGTGCAGCAGGTTAATTAGTTGGATATGTTCATTAAGTCATTACTTTCTAAAAAAATTTCCTTGAAATGTGATGATTAATTTGAGATATTTTGCTAACGCTGCAGACAAACAGAGACAAATGTTTGTCGTGGGCGATGATTAAAATTAAAGACATCTGAAGTGTTTTTGGGACACCTTTGTTTTCAGGATGGCACCAACAGCTCAAGGGACTCCACGACGTCCTCAGAACACAAAGTGAAGCGGCGCCTGGAGAGGGAAGGTGTGGAGGTGGAGCGCCGGGGGAAGGACAGAAAGCACTCGCACAAGAGACAGAGGGTGAATAAAAAGAAGCAGCAGCGCCGGCCGGCCTCCACCTCATCCTCCCCGCGCTCGGACTTCTCCCAGTCGGACGACTCCGAGGAGGAAATGGCCGTGTGTCCTGCAGAGAGGTGCCAGCTGCCAGAGGGAGACGAGGTGAGGAAAATGAAGCCTGACCGTGTCAGAAATGGAGGACTGGGGTCAAAAACCATCTGCAGCATTCATGAGAGGGTTTTCTGTGCCTGCAGGTGGACTGGGTCCAGTGTGACGGCAGCTGCAACCAGTGGTTCCACCAGGTGTGTGTCGGAGTCACACCTGAGATGGCCGAGAAGGAGGACTACGTTTGTGTCACATGCACGCTGACCGACGGCCATGGACGTGCACGCTGAACGAGGGCCATGGACGTGCACGCTGAACGAGGGCCATGGACGTGCACGCTGAACGAGGGCCATGGGAGGAAATGAAGGGGACGCAGAGGATTTCCCTCAAGTCTGCGTGTCGTCAGTCCGTTATTGGAGCCTGAAGTCTGGATGTGTCACTGATCCTGCCCCCCCCCGGTCTGTCCAAACTTTGTGTAACGATGGTGCTATCTCCTCTTTGACTCGTCGTCCAGAACTATAATGTTTAGTTTGTTTGGTTTTTTTGTACTTTTACATATATATTATATATATTTCTTTCTTGTTATGAATTGTTTGTGGTTGTCTAAATGAAAAAAGCGTGCTGCATGGGAATTCATTTCATCAGCACAAAGGAGTCTTACACCATGACCCCCCCCCCCCCCCCCCCACACACACACACACACACACACACACACACACACACACACACACATAGAGTTAACTAAAGATGAATATTTATCTTCTTTGGACCCCTCTTTGCATGTTTACCCAAAGTTATGGAGACAGACTATTAGGTTATCACACCTCCCCCCCACTTTAGTAACTATTACTTTTTTTTGGAATCCAGTGTTTTGACATGCATCTGATTTTATTTAATTATTCCCCTTTATTGTTTTGTTTTTTGTAAAATAGGTTTATTTATCAGAGCAATAACTTTTGTCTGAATTGACTTACGGCTTGATCTTGAAGTTGTGTTTTAGTGATGGTGATGTGATGTACAGAGCTGCGCAGACAGACGAGCTGCAGCTGCGCAGACAGACAAGCGGCAGCTGCGCAGACAGACAAGCGGCAGCTGCAGCTGCGCAGACAGACGAGCTGCAGCTGCGCAGGCAGACAAGCGGCAGCTGCAGCTGCGCAGACAGATGAGCTGCAGCTGCGCAGCAAGCTGAAGGAAGCACGCTGCAGACATGCAGATCCACAGAGTGTAACCCTGCAGACGACACGAGAAGACGGAAGATGTTACGAGTTTTTATTGTGGAATAAAAGCCTTTTCTTCCACAGAGATGTCTTCTCATTTCACAGCTTGTCCTCAGACTTGATTGATGACAGTTTTAATAAATAATTTTGCTCAGATTCTTTATGATCTTATGTAAGAGCTCTTTTTAGATTTTGTGGTTTGTAACAAGCGTTCATTGTTCGGGTAGATCCAGAGAAATAATCATTACGACTCAGAAAGTAAAAGGTCTTCAGTGCTCAACATGAATTAATCTGCTTTCATTTTCCTGTTTTACATCAGAATCAGTCTAACTTTGTTAAAATTCATTAACATTTCTAGAGATTTAATTAATAAAAATGTAATCCCTAAGTCTCCCATTACACATTTTTAGAAGTGTTAAGAATATTTCTGAAATGTAGCAAAGACTTTGAAACTTGTTTTAAAAGTCACAAAAAAAGACTTGGCTTTTAGGAGCTGATCATATTTATTTGTTTTCTAAAAACAGTGGAATGGGTTCATAAAGACACCGAGTCATATCTCCATTATGAGATGGTTGAATAAAAAATACTTTAATGAATAAATTAAAAAAAAACTTCATTAAGGTTTTTCTTCTGTAAATGAAGTTCATACTTGTGTTATTAAACCATAGTTTTAGGTTACAAAGATTGACATAAACAGGTCTTCTGTGACATGAGGACTGTTCTGAACCGTCCTCACTGCAGGGGCTGGATCAATTATATTTATATATAAATACAAAAATATATAAATACATTAAATAAATATATAAATACACAAACATAAAAATACATAAATACTCAATTATATAAATACATAAATTGAATATATAAATACAGGTGCTGGTCAAAAATTTTGAATATCATGAAAAAGTTTATTTCATTAATTCCATTTAAAAAGTGAAACTTTTATAATTCATTAATTACACACAGACTGATATATTTCAAATGTTTATTTCTTTAATGTTGATGATTATAACTGACAACTAATGAAAACCCCAAATTTATTATCTCAGAAAATTAGATTATTGTGAAAACATTAAATATTGAAGACACCTGGTGCCACACTCTAATGAGCTAATTAACTCAAAACACCTGCAAAGACCTTTAAATTGTCTCTTTGTCTAGTTCTGTAGCTACACAATCATGGGGAGGACTGCTGACTTGATAGTTGTCCAAAAGATGACCATTGACACCATGCACAAGGAGGACAAGACACAAAAGGTCATTGCTAAAGAGGCTGGCTGTTCACAGAGCTCTGTGTCCAAGCACATTAATAGTGAGGTGAAGGGAAGGAAAAGATGTGGTAGAAAAAAGTGTACAAGCAATAGGGATAACTGCACCCTGGAGAGGATGGTGAAACAAAACCCATTCCAATATGTGGGGGAGATTCACAAAGAGTGGACTGCAGCTGGAGTCAGTGCTTCAAGAACCACCACGCACAGACATATACAAGACATGGGGTTCAGCTGTCACGTTCCTTGTGTCAAGCCACTCTTGAACAAGAGACAGCATCAGAAGCGTCTCGCCTGGGACTGCTGCTGAGTGATCCAAAGTTATGTTCTCTGATGAAAGTACATTTAGCATTTCCTTTGGAAATCAAGGTCCCAGAGTCTGGAGGAAGAGAGGAGACACAGAATCCACGTTGTTTGAGGTCCACTGTCAAGTTTCCACAGTCAGTGATGGTTTGGGACGTGCCATGTCATCTGCTGGTGTTGGTCCACTGTGTTTTCTGAGGTCCAAGGTCAACGCAGCCATCTACCAGGAAGTTTTAGAGCACCTCATGCTTCCTGCTGCTGACCAACTAGAGACGCAGATTTCATTTTCCAATTGACACCTGCACACTGTGCCAAAGTTACCAGTACCTGGTTTGTTTTTTTTTGTTTTTTTTTTGTGGTTGAAGCTGATGACCCCACCCATGTTGGGAAAGGGGCATTCCAAATAAACCATTTACTGTGATCTCAACAGAATCCATCCATCCATTTTCTTTACCCGCTTATTCCATTTTAGGTCACGGGGGTCGCTGGTGCCCATGTCCAGCAATCACTGTGCGAGGGGCGGGGTAAACCCTGGACGGGTCGCAAGTTCATCACAGGGCCACATAGAGACAAACAACCATTCACTCTCTCACTCACACCTAGGGACAATTTAGAGTTACCAATCAGCCTAACATGCATGTTTTTGGTCTGTGGGAGGAAACTGGAGTACCCGGAGAAAACCCACGCAAGCACGGAGAGAACATGCAAACTCCACCCAGAAAGGCCCCTGGACCGGGGTTTGAACCAAGGACCTGCTCGCTGAGAGGCAGCAGCTCTACCAGTTGCGCCACCATGCCGCCTATCTCAACAGAATAGTTAATCAAATTTTTTATATATTTATTTTACACTGAAACGTGTAATATTTTGCAAATCCAATATTGACTTTTTTGCGATAAAATAAACATGTTGGTCCAAACAGTTGTTTTGAGGGTAATACTTTGATGGTCCAAATCCACTGTGAAAACTTTGAAATATCAGCATTAAGCATCATGAAGGACGACTGTTCAGCGATTTGTAGACATACAGGAGTATTTTGAACTGGATTCGAAGGTGAACTGGTAGCCAGTGCAGTGATGCCAAAACTGGAGTAATGTGCTCTCTTTTGCCTGTACTGGTTAAAAATCGGGCTGCTGCATTCTGGACCAGATGTAGTCGTGCAATGGAGATCTGAATGATACCAAACAGGAGCCAATTGCAGTAATCAAGCCTAGATGTAATGAATGCATGTGTTACTGTCTCCAGGTTATTTTTGGACAATATGGGCTTCAGTTTAGACAGCCACCTCAGCTGGAAGAAACATGATTTAACAATCATGTTTACATGATTGTTAAGTTTCAGGGAAGGGTCCATTATCACTCCCAGATTATTGACTCTTTGTTTTTTTTGACAGGGTTAGAGTGGAAAAGTCAATGCAGTGGTTTGTGATTGTGTTGTTGTAAGGAAACAACATGACTTCAGACTTCCAGGCAGTCGAGCAGAGGTTGAATAGAGCATGTACCATTGTGTATTGGGGGAAGTAAATTTGACAGTCATTGGCGTAGAAGTGAAAGGGTATGTTGTGTTTCTGGAAAATAGCACCAAGGGGCTGCAGGTATAAAGAGAATAGGAGGGGACCCAGGATGGCCCCCTGCGGAACCCCCCATTTAAGCTCTGCCGCTGCAGAACTAAAATCCTTGATGATGACACAAAAGTATCTGTCAGCGAGGTAGGATCTGAACCAATTGAGGGCTGACCCTGTGATGCCCACCCACTGCTCCAACCTAGCAATGAGGATCTCATGGTCGATGGTGTCAAAGGCAGCTGTAATGACCAGTAAGACAAGCAGCACAGAATCACCAGTATATGTGGATAAGACAATATCATTAAAAACCTTCAGTAGGGCAGTTTCAGTGCTATGAAGAGGTTTAAAGCCAGATTGGAATAGCTCTAGGATAGAGCAGCAGTGAGGGATGCTGTCAGGCTGAAGAAAGAGTCCTATCAGGCCTTTTTGGCCTGTGGGACCCCGGAAGCAGCTGATGGGTACCGGCAGTCCAAGCGACATGGGACTCGGGTGGTCACTGAGGCAAAAAACTCGGGCATGGGAGGAATTCAGAGAGGCCATGGAGAATGACTTTGAGGCGATTCTGGTCCACTATCCAGCATCTCAGGGGGTGAAAGCGGTACACCACCAACACTGTTTATAGTGGGGGTGGTGTGCTGCTGACCTCAACTTGGGATGTTGTGAGTCGGTGGGTGGAATACTTTGAACACCTCCTCAATCCCACCGGCATGTCTTCCACTGAGGAAGCGGAGCCTGGGGACTCTGGGTCGGGCCCTCCAATCTCTGATGATGAGGTCACCGAGGTGGTTAAAAAGCTCCTCGGTGGCAGGGCTCCATGGGTGGATGAGATTCGCCCGGAGTTCCTTAAGGCTCTGGATGTTGTAGGGTTGTGTTGGCTTACGCGACTCTGCAATATTGCGTGGGCATCGGGGGAAGTTCCCCTGGATTGCCAGACCGGGGTGGTGGTCCCCCTATTCAAAAAGGGGAACCGTAGAGTGTGTTCCAACTACAGGGGGATCACGCTCTTAAGCCTCCCTGTTAAGGTCTATTCGGGGATTCTGGAGAGGAGGGTCTGTCGAATAGTCGAACCTCGGATTCAGGAGGAGCAATGCGGTTTTTGTCCTGGTCTTGGAACACTGGACCAGCTCTACACTCTCAGCAGGGTCCTGGAGGGTGCGTGGGAGTTTGCCTGTTTGCCCTACATGTGCTTTGTGGACTTGGAGAAGGCATTTGACCGCGTCCCTCAGGGAACCTTGTGGGGGGTACTCTGGGAGTATGGGGTACCAGGCCCTTTGATATGGGCTGTTAGGTCCCTCTATGACCGGTGTCAGAGCCCGGTCCACATTGCCGGCAGTAAGTCGGCCTCGTTCCCGGTGAGAGTTGGACTCCGCCAAGGTTGCCCTTTGTCACCGATTCTGTTCATAACTTTTATGGACAGAATTTCTAGGCACAGCCAAGGTGTTGAGGGGATCCATTTTGGTGGCCTTAGGATCATGTCTCTGCTTTTTGCAGATGATGTGGTCCTATTGGCTTCATCAGATCGTGATCTACAGTTTTTGCTGGAGCGGTTCGCAGCCAAGTGCTACACAGCCGGGATGAAGATCAGTTCCTCCAAATCCGAGGCCATGGTCTTGAGCCAGAAAAGGGTAGAGTGCCATCTCTGGGTCAGAGAGGAGGTCCTGCCCCAAGTGGAGGAGTTCAAGTATCTTGGGGTCTTGTTCAGAAATGAGGGGAAAATGGAGCACGAGATCGATAGGCGGATAGGTGCAGCGTCTGCAGTGAACCGGGTGCTCTACAGGTCTGTCGTGGTGAATAGAGAGCTGAGTCAAAAGGCGAAGCTCTCAATTTACCAATCGATCTACGTTCCTACTCTCATCTATGGTCATGAGCTATGGGTTGTGACCAAAAGAACGAGATCTCGGATACAAGCAGCCGAATTGAGTTTTCTCCGCAGGGTGTCTGGGCTCTCCCTTAGAGACAGGGTGAGAAGCTCAATCATCCGGGAGAGACTCAGAGTAGAGCCGCTGCTTCTCCACGTCGAGAGGAGCCAGTTGAGGTGGCTCGGGCATCTGGTTAGGATGCCTCCTGGACGCCTCCCTGGTGAGGTGTTCCAGACACGTCCCACTGGGAGGAGACCCAGAGGAAGACCCAGGACACGCTGGAGGGACTATGTTTCTCGGCTAGCCTGGGAACGCCTCGGGATTCCCCTGGAGGAACTGGCCCAAGTTGCTGGGGAGAGGGAAGTCTGAACCTCCCTACTTAAGCTGCTACCCTCGGGACCCGACCCCGGACAAGCGGAAGAAAATGGATGGATGGATGGATGGATGGATGGATATATATATATA